CCCCCTCGGTCCCCTTGAGCGCTAATACGTTTATTACACAAGTCGATAAGCGCCTCCGACACAGCGGCGCGCTGTTTTAATTGGCTCTAGTCGTATACAGGGCGCTAAAGTGTGTGGCAGTGTTTGCGTCACGCACTTGCCCCGCTGACCCTCCCTGCCTCCCCCTCCCCCAAAGCCTCCTAACCTTCCCATTTCCTCCCCCTCCTTTCCAAACAGCAGCAGGGGGATTGGAGGGGCGGTAGGGGGCTACCCCTAATTATCTTTCACTCTTTGCCTTGTTTCAGGAAATTGCCACCTGACACAGTTATGGAGGGCCCCGCGGAGCGTCTACGCGGCCCGCCCCGCTGGCATTGGGGCACACGGTCACGGTGTTGTGGCGGAGGGGGTGGGGGTGGGGGGCAGAATAATCGTACAATGCGGGTGAAGGCGGAGAGAGCTGCCTCCTCCCCGGCACTTAACATGCATGGCCACAGGCGCACCGCCCCGCTCGCCCCGCCCCTGGCGCGCTGCAGTGTCCGGCTAGCGACCTGTCGGGCCGCAGCGAGACACGACGGCATCGGGCACACACACAAAAAGCACAAAAAAATACATTTGTCGCGCTAGTGCTATCAACTTAGCTAATTTAGCGATAGCCAATCACTTTTCGGCTCGTCGTTTTCTTTTCTTTTTTTTTTCGTGCACGACGGCCTCTGGCACGGCGGCGGCTTTACGCACGGCTGGGCACGAGGCTCACAGAGCGCGATCCGTCGAGCGCAGCGGATTGGGCGCGAATAAAACTTGGGGGTTGGGAGGGGCGGGGGAGGTGCTCTGATTGTGCTGCGTCGCAAGGGCACTGCAGGTGGCGCTGGGCGGTGCCACCGGATTGGGCAGATACAATGTGCGATGTCTCGAAATTTATTAATTCGGGTGAGTCATATGCTGGCGCCAGAGGACATATAGGAAGCAGAACAATAAATGGAAATGGAATATCGGTGGAGGTAATTTGATAAAACGCAGACTCTGTTCTTTTTTTTCCCATCATCATAAACCTGACTCGGCTGCTCTGCTTTTCGATATGAGATTTCGCGATGATTTCCGCCGAATGAATTCGCATTTGAATGGTTTTGAGGCTGATTTGTCGTTTTCCCTTGCAGATGACGCACAGCAATGAGCGGGAGGTTCTACTCACAAACATGGATGTGAACGCCACCGGCGACTTCTACTGCGAGGTCTCCACCGAGGTGCCCAGCATCTACACGAAGGCGTCCGAGGAGGTCTTGATCACCGTGTACAGTGAGTACCTCGACCAGAAAAATATTATTTGAAACGTTTTCGGTTACACGAGTACGATTGAATGTGGATGCGGCACACTGGTTCTGCGCGAAAACCAAGTACTGTATAAAATGTTCAGCTAGCGGAGAGAGAGAATTTCAGCATTTATTGAGGATCCTCAAAAAGGGCTGTGGAGCCCCACTAAAGATGAGCGAACATGCCAGTTCGAAATCACATTAACTCGGACAAAATCATCCCCCAAATCTTGAAACCGAACCTGAACAGCAAAACAATAATAATTTGTTTACTTTACCAGGGCAAACTTTTGAGTAGCAAGGCAGTCTAGACGCCCAACACCAGACAGCTTTCAAGACCGCATGTTAATTGATTTCCAAGCAAAGCGAGCAAAACGCGAAAAAACAACCTTATGCTGGACCGCTCACCGCGCGGTAGACTCAGCCATGGTGCTTGTATTCTGCATCAAAGCGAGCAAGACGGTACCCAGCCCCTTAAACCTAGCTGCAATTGTTCACATTTGAACTCCTGTTCGAACAGTTTATTTCGGGTCCGAAGATGATCGCTCTTCTCTAAGCTCCACTACATGAGAACGCGCTCTCTAGCAGGCTGAATAGGTTATTTGAATTTAATACAATTAAGACGGAGGCTTCTGGTCGTCCAAACGCAGGTCGTACAACCGATGCACCCAGCAGCTCTCTGATGATACACGACGGTGTGCACCGGAGGCGAGAGGGGGGGGGGTCCAATCCGGCGCCCGACCTCACTCCCCGTCCTCCCCGGCCGCTTCATGCCTCTCAAGGAGGCTGCTGATGATGTGACACTTCGTGGGGGGAGGAGGGGAGCGCGGAGACGACGCCGGCAGAACTCAATTTTGTATGAAAACTGGATCCCTGAGAAGCGATATCGCTGGAGCAGCCCCGGCGCCTGCAGCCCGGCGCCGTGAGCCCCGGGGAGTCGGGGTGCCGCCCGGGACCCGAGCTAGGTGCGATAAAAAGGGGAGGGGGAAGGGGGTTAAAGGCGTCGTCGGGAGGCAACGTCCTCATCACCAGCATCGAGTACGAACCCCGACGGCCTCATCGACGTCTCTGGTCACCGCCGTCAACGTCCTCACCGTGTCGGCCAGCGCGAGGCAGCGCGCGAGCGGTGAGCCCCGTGCTGGGCAGGCACACCGTGATGCGCCGCGTGCACTCCGGCCCGGCGGGTGGCCTACCCTCCGCTCTGCGGGCGCCCGGCCCCTGGCGGACGGCGGCGGCTTGCTCAGTCCCGACACCTGGCCCCGATTGCGTTTTAACGGTGTACCTCACGGCCGCCCCCCGATGGCGGAGAATAAATGCGGCAATTACTTTGCTCATTACTGGAATTAGCATCGCGCGCGGCCAGTTGCGCGGTGAGGCCAGCACCCCTCCCACCACTTTCATCTCCTTTCCTCTTACCTCCCTACTCTAACCCCCTCCCTACGACCCCAGAACCAGTCCCCTTCCCCCCCTCCTCCCGCACCGAAAGCAGAAACGCTCAGCACGCGCGGATAGAGCGGCTGGAGCCAACTGTTGTGCCTCTTATTTGAATTTCTTATTCGCAAAATATGTTGTTCCCTGCCGCACCTGCCATGGCGGAGCGCCCGGACCCTTCCCCCTCTGCTCTTCCTGGGCGCAGAGAGGCAGGAAGGAGTCGCACGCACTCCGCAGTCGCAGTCAAACATATCTTTAGGATTTTGCAGGACTTTTTAAAATTTCCGATTTGCAGATATCAAACAGTTTTGTAAATTTACGGCAGTTCATTCATTTTTGCTCCTCTAATGTATTCCAAGTCAAAACATTTCACAATACAAACGTAAATTTACACCAAAAAAAATCATGATAATATTTTAGTAAAAGCAGTGTACAGAGAGAGTTTTTATTTTTCAAGTTTACATACCGCCGAGGCGGTGCGGTCGACCCCGCTTGCCTAGCCACGGTGCGGACCGGAGGGGCCGCCCTTTCTGCTGTTGGTATTTTCTCGTTGCCGGACCCCCTACGCCGTCCCTCTCCCTCCCCGCCGCCGTCCCATCGAGCGCGCGGCGCGCGGCGCTTAACTGGCTTAACATTGTAAGATATGGCCAACTTTTACTCCCCGTAAGCCGTAATTAACCGTCGGTCGTCGCCCGGGATCAGGCGAGGTGAGAAATATTGCGACAGCTGCGCTGCGCGGCCTGTCG